ACACTGCGGTGTCGGGACGTACAACTCTAGCTCCCACATTGGCTTACTGCCTCCACAACAACACTGTGGTGTCGGGACGTACAACTCTAGCTCCCACATTGACTTACTGCCTCCACAACACTGCGGTGTCGGGACGTACAACTCAATATTTTATATGTATTATGGTAATTTATTCCATGTTGAAAAATAATACTATGTGCCAACTCTAGTAACATTTCTGTTGCATACGTAGTAATGCATAGTAAGTGACAATGTATAGGTGTCCTATAGGATCTGTTGTATCGCTAGATTGAGACGTAGCCAGGCGTTGACAAGATAAGGTGTTGTTTCTATTAGGCCATCACGGACTTAGGAAATATTAGAAATACCTTACAATATCCTACTGACTCACTACTAGTGCCGCTATTTATCTACATATTTCTTAAGCAATAACGAATATGCAAAGAGATATTTGCATATCTACAAATATCCAAGTATGCAAATACACTACAATATCCATACACATGTAGACAAAACCTTTATGTTTTAATTGAAAACAACGGAGTGTTTTCCCTAGAAATTACTTTACAATTGGAGAAAACAGATTTAGAACTTCCATGTTGTCATCAGTTATTTTTACGTCACAATTTTTGCTAATCCCAATGATAATTAACCTAATAATAGGTTTGCTTTAAAAAAAAAAAAATAGGGAACACTCATTGTCTGCTGCTTCTCTGTTTTTTTTTTTTTTTTCAATACGTTACAGGGGCATCAATCCTTTGTCTGGCGGATCTCTCTATGATAATTCAATAAAAGGATTTGACCCAGGACCAGTTTAAATATACTCGGTCAATGATTATAGTGGTTCGATAAACTATAATTGGGTTGATTTTGATGGGAAATTGAGGTTGTGTATTAAAACTGCAAATTCTTATTTTTAAATTACGTTTTACGAGAAAATATTTAAAATAATATTTAAATGGTTATTAATTCTTTGATAGTCAACTGTTTGATGACTCTAAGGTTGTCCCAAAAGTTCGTAAGCCTATTTTGATTTTTGCAAGTGTTTACAAACTTTTGGAACAACCTTGTAATTCTGAAACTTGGCCAACCTGCTGATTGTCCATTCTTGATATAGAACATCAGAGTTTAAATCATTCTTCTATAAGAATTCTGTTAAAATTTTACCAAGGTTGTCCCAAAATATTACCAAGGTTTGTCCCAAAAGTTCGTAAACACAAAATATAAATCATAATATGTTTAGGAACTTTTGAGACAGCCGTATATAATTTATATTTATTTTGATAAATTATTTAAGTTGTGAAGTTGGTTTTTGGTTAACACGCTGTACAAGAATTCTAATTGTAATTTCCTTCAAGCAGACAGGAGTGTTTAAGACAATGCTAATCTCGCTATTTGCTAAAGAAGAAGAAGAAATAAAAGTCGGGCAAGACGCTCTACTACGGGTACAGAATAAAAGGAGCGACAATATATACACTTTGATGACAATTTGCACCCATCAATTGACAACAACAACAACAAAAAGCCTTTATTTAGGGTTACTGACCCTATACAGGATTCACCAGAGGTATGCATAAGAACAAAGCAGTGAGACAAAGGAAATAACGATATAGACAGAAGAAAAAAGAAAAAAAAAAAACAAAAAAGAGAAAGAGGGAAGCAAGAAAAACAACACAAAAAGAGTAGCAGTAAGAAAGTGAGGAGTGAGTCCATCAATTGAATATTTTATTCATTATATATAAGTTCTCCTGTAGAAGAACAGAGATGTCTGAAACTTGAGATGGTTTTAAAATAAAAAGAAACTCATCTCCAGAAACCTTTTTTAATTGTTTAATTTGCACCCATACTTATACCTTACTAGCCGAATGACCCGGGCAACGCCCGTGTTTTACCCGATTGAATGTTTTAATTCAAATACTATTTGTTACAATTATAAATTGGCGCCTTAAATAAATGCATATGTTAGTTAATAACTATAGCCTATGTGCTTTATCTGTCTATGTACTGTTGGCTTCCGTAGGCGTCTCTTACTGGGAAAAAGAAAGAGAGGATTCCATTTGGTTATTAACTAATATATGCATTTATTTAAGGAGCGACCCGCTCCAACACAATAGTTACAAAAACGAAAAAAGCGAGTGGGGGGGGGGGGGCAAAGGTGGCGTGATCGTAGCCGACCAATAGGAGGGCGCCATTCCAAAAAAAAAAAAAAGCAAACCGTGACAGAGTTGATTGATTGGGAGATTAGGAGATGAAGAATGACCCTCGTAACTGTATATAGAATGACAAGTATAATCTCCAATTCACTATAGAAATGGAAGATACACAAGTCAGAGAGAAAAGATTCTTTATATAAGAGGATGATTGTTCAAGCTTTCGGACAATATGTCTTTCTACGGGTACAGAATAACAAGAGTGTTTGATGTCTATGGGAGACTGGATTCGCCCAGGGATTTGCATAGCTAATGAGATCCGTTTGCCGAGTCAGCTAAGTGAAAGCCAGAGTTTTAAAATAGTGTCAGACGATGGTTGGACATTTTCCAGCAGGTGATAACAAGATCTGGCTGGTGGAACGATCTTGTTGACGTCTTTCCTCATCAGGTGACGTAAAGACATCTCCTTATCTGCCCCACAAGACACACTCTTTTTTTTAAATCTCGATATCCTACTGGGAAAACGCCTTCAAATCAGTAGTCATACCTTTAATAGAAAGATATAACAAGTCATATATATATATATTATATTAATAAAAAGATGAGATTTTCTGTTTGTATTTTGATTGTTATTTATATAGAATTAGTTGTTATTTTAATTATGTTATATAAAAATGAATCGAGATTTTATGCTTGAATTTAGATCATGTTGAGGATTTTGGTTATCTTGAGAATTAAGCTATGGTGGTGCAGTCGTGGTTAAATAATAATCTTGAAAATATAAAGTCTTGATCAGAGATTTCTTTATTGAGCTGAGGAATACATATAAAAACATAATTTTGTAAAATTACCGCCCGGCTTAAGGCGAATAGAACAAGGAAAACAAAAGATTATTTACATAATGTACAAAGATTTGAGCCGGCCATCGGGGAACAACAACAATGAGTATTTATAGGGGAAGCGTGACCCGTGGCGGTCGATTTAGCAGAGCATTTTATCTATGAAATATAATTTTAAATAGAATAGTATTTTAATATAACATATATATAGGAAATTAAACAACAAGATGTTTCTTTCACATTAAAAACAAACTTCTAATGTCCTTACAACGGTGAAAAAAAAAAAGTTGGCCCTTTTGTTAACAATCACTTTAAATAATTATCTTTCTTTATAATTCTTACTTTCCCTTTATTCTTGTCTTTTTGGTGACGCTATGGACACAGATATTCTCCAATTTGATATCTGTCAGTGACCATCACTCTCATCTAGTGATCTTCTGGTAACTTCCTTGGCCTCTTCTAGCTATGCCATTGTAGGTCTTCCTCTCTTCTTTCAAATTTTCCCAACATCAATGTCTTTTCTGATCTATTTGCTCTTATTATATGTCTTAAATAAGTCAGACTTCATTTATTTGAGACTCTATGGATTTACCAGGATTTATTTCATTCTAGATTGATATACACTCATGGACAAAACTTAAGGAAGTTGTACCTTTCAGCATGTATATCGGGATTGAGACAATAACTCTGAAAGATATTACAGTTACCTTTATTGAAGACACACGAGATAACCAATATGCACTCATGGACAAAACTTAAGGAAGTTGTGCCTTTTACCATGTATATCGGGATTGAGACAATAACTCTGAGAGATATTACAGTGACCTTTATTGAAGACACACGAGATAACCAATATGCACTCATGGACAAAACTTAAGGAAGTTGTACCTTTCAGCATGTATATCGGGATTGAGACAATAACTCTGAAAGATATTACAGTGACCTTTATTGAAGACACACGAGATAACCAATATACACTCATGGACAAAACTTAAGGAAGTTGTACCTTTCAGCATGTATATCGGGATTGAGACAATAACTCTGAAAGATATTACAGTGACCTTTATTGAAGACACACGAGATAACCAATATACACTCATGGACAAAACTTAAGGAAGTTTTACCTTTCAGCATGTATATCGGGATTGAGACAATAACACACACACACACACACACAAAAGCCTTTATTAAGACACACAGGTCTTACAGGGGATTCTCCTTGTGGTTACAAAGCGGAGAAAGTGGGAAATAAAAATGGTGAAAGAATATATACATATGGTAAATATATACATATTATAAGAAAGAATAAAGAAATAAGAAGAATTTTAAAAAATAAATAAATAAAATTAAAAAAATTTGGAAATATGGATGGGAGAAGTGGAGAGCGAAAAGAGGAAAGAAAGCAGGTATTTACATATGGGATTGAGACAATAACTCTGATAGATATTACAGTCTTCTACAGATTATCCAAGTATAGAAATGTAGGATACAAACAGGAATAACAGTAATAGTACCTTAATGGTAATATGATATTTATATACAAGAAAAATTATATAAAGACAATCAAGCTAATAGATTAGTCTGGGTAAATTGGAGGACATTTATTATACATGGATTTACCACGGATTCACCGCAAATGAAGATTTAAAAAAGCAAAAGTTAACCACAAACAATCAATATTGATATAATGAAATTTATGGATAAAATACAATATTAAAAAATATAATTAATAAAATGTGAAACCCTTTCCTCAGCAAAAATAAAAATCCTAATTTGTCAGTTTTTAACAAAGGGGCAAGTTTTTGGGGGAAGGGGGGCGGTAGGTATGTATGTGCGTAAGGAGGGAGGAAGAGGAGAATTAAAAAAAAAAAGAAGAAAGAAAAAACCATGTTTTTTATATGATAAATACCTTACTGTACTGTAAGTCAATTTTTTTTCTTTTTCCGCGTGCAGCATAAACTTTCATAAAAAGTTTTGAATAAATTCTTCTTCCAATTAATAAAAAAAAAAAACATCCAGCCGGGACTCGAACCCGGGACCTTTGGATTAGAAGTCCAACGCGCTATCCACTGCGCTACTGGGACATATACAATCATCCTCAGTTAAGTTTTACAATCAATTTCTATGATAGGAAATTTTCTTTTTTTTTTTTTTTTTTAATTAATAGTTCGAATAAATTTTTAATATATGTACTTATTTTAAATTTAAAGAAAAACTTAAATTTACACAATACAATTAAATTATGTCAAATGATATAATGGTAATATTGATTGGGAAAATAAAATAATCTTTTGATATATAAAATGTAGGGTGTAAAATATATTAATGAAAGATATATATACCTATAACCTATAATGTTATTTTAATTATTAAAATTAATTCATTTTTATATATTACGTTTTACATTTGAATTTTATTTTACCAACGTGTAACCAAAAAAATTAATAAATTTTTTATTTAAACTTTTATGTTTTCACCATACTAAGTATTCAATAATACTAGTTAAAAATTAACTAGTTAAACAATATTAGTTTATTTCTCTAAAACCTTACACAATGACTAATCAATTTATTTAATATATTAAAAACCATATTTAATGCATTTAAATTAACAGCATCATGGTCAATGTGGTCTCAAATAATATTAAATATATTATATGGTCAATGATCAAATAAATATTATATATATTATAAATGGTCAATGATCAAATAATATTAAATAAATGGTCAATGATCAAATAATATTAAATAAATGGTCAATGATCAAATAATATTTAATATATGGTCAATGATCAAATAAAATTAAATTTATGGTCAATGATCAAATAATATTAAATATATTATATATGGTCAATGATCAAATAAATATTAATTATATTATACAAAAACTTCAACAGATAGTTACAGAAATGTTTAAAAAAAAATATTTTTTTTTTTCGTTAATGTGAAATATAATATTTTAGAAACATTTTCCTCTGCCAGGCCATTAAAAATTGTTGTTTAAAAAAAATGCTGACTCGTATCGTTTTTATTTATTTGTTGAAGCTTTTGACCATGTCAGGATTTTGGTCTGTCGATGGATTGCTCTATTTTTAAATACTATTTAACGATATTAAAAATTTGTGTCTTATCCGTTGTTTTATGATCAAAAACGAATATCCTTTGATAAAAATATAAAAAGTTGTATCCTTCTAGAATTTTGCCCGAGGAAAATTAGGGAAGACCAATTTCTTATCTATCTCTTTACTCGACTAATTGGCCATTATAGAATGATCTTCTAGTCCTACCAACGGAAGACCAACTTCAGGATGAGACAACAATTTATTTCAAGCATGAACAAACTATGAATGATAAACAAAAGATAAGCAATAAGGGAAGTAAAACAAGACTTGAAGTTACACCGCATGAGTTTCTTTTCAATGAAAAATCAAAATTTATTTCAAGGTGAAATATTGACTATTTCTAACCTTTTTGGATGAGGTATGAAAGGGTGAATTATGAAGAGTAATGATGAACGGAAAAATAAAGTGTCCGGGGATGGAATCGAACCCACAATGTTCCGCTTACCGGGGCAGACGCCATGTCCACTAGGCTACCCTGGACGTATTTTTCCGTTCATAAATAATACATAAAGTAACTTATAATACAATATAATACACTGCGGCTTGTAATTGTAAAACAACACTTGAAGTTACAGCGCATGGGTGAGAGAATAAGGAAAGTGTACAGAGTATAGCAAAATATAAACGTAAAAAATAATACTCTGCTAATAAATAATAAATACTTTGTTACAATATTCACTAGACGGTCCCTCGACGCCATTGACCCCCATCGTCTGCTACACTACATTCTAGTGTTACCAGACCGTAAAGCAGAGTTTCCACATGTGTAGACCACATGTCTACTCGGGTAGAAAACTGCCTTTTACATTCTTGTGGTCTACATGGTCGATAGACATTGAAGTTTAAACACAAGGTAATAAGACCAAATAGGTAACGAACGCTGCTACCAAAACGTCACACACCATTTATTTGATCTTATTACCTTGTGTTTATAATCTACTAGCGGATGTACCCGGCTTCGCCCGGGTTTTACCCGAGTAAAGGTTTGTCTAACGAACATTTGTTAAAACAATTCTCTATAAACTTATAAAAAAAGAAAGATATATTTTGATAATTTGAAACTCGTAAATTTGAATCTCTCGATAAAGTGAAGTTATCCTGAATTTTGTCTTTCCTAATTTTCTACATTACAAAAATCATCGTATCATCATGATAATATTTAAAGCAGATTGTTGAATTATAACAGATAAATTAGAATATTTATCTTGATTATTTTTAAAGCGAAAAGTTATTTCAAAAATTTTATTTGCTAGAAACCTTCCCAGTACTATACTAAATAACTTCCCAAAGTTTCATGGCGTTCCAATGAGTGGTTTGGTCTGGCATAAAGGACAGACACACACACACATACACACACATACATTCATTTTTATATATATAGACTAGACGAATGACCGGCTTCGCCCGGGAATTCCCCCGAGTGCAATTTCCTTCATACTGAAAGAACATTACTAATAAATAGTATTAGAGCCATAGAATAGCAACACCGAAGTAATACATTATCACAGGCAAAAAGTATGTGTGATGTAAAAAAATGCAATATATTAGTATTTAGGTATTTTATTTATTTATTTTTCAATCCATTTAGGTGTTTTAAATATAGTTCAAATAGTTGGCAGATTTAAGAATTATCATATTGACTGTAACTTTTATTTATTATTATATAAAAAAAACAAATGCCAGAACAAAAATTAATAAAAAATACGAAAGCCATTGTTTACATACAGTAACGCTAATTTTGTAAAGTTTTTTTAAAAATTGCATTGTGTGCACTTACCGTAACTTAGTAATATAAATTTCTCTCTCAATACTTTTGTAAAAAATGTGACACTCGTATAAAAAGATATTTAAAAAAAAGTACGCAAGCAACTTGAAAAGAAATGCAGAACGCTCATTGGTCGCTTAATTGGCCTCGTGTTGTTACTTCGCCTCGTATTTACTCCGCGTAAAAAAAAAAATTCTTTAAATGAAAAAAAGAAATAGCCAAAAATACTAATCAAAATGTAGCCGAAAATTTTCCCTCAGGTTTATAAAAGCGACATACAAAATTTGGTACCAATTGGTTCAGTAGTTTTTGAGTTTATCGCAAAACAGACATTGACTTTTATATATATATAGATAATCAAAATTGTACCTTATTGAAGGTTATTTACATATTAAACAAAATGTTAACGCGGGATTCAATCCCAGTTCTATGACTGTCGGGAATCGAGGGTGTTACCTACTGGTCCACCGACTCTTCATTTGCTATCTAAATGGAATTTTGGTATATCATATATCGGTAGAGTAGAAATTTATAAACGTGTTTGAAGAGATGATGTTTTCAGAGTTTGCTAAATCTAGCCAAGGACGTCTTGTGGCGACAACTTTGTGAGTTTGGGAGGAAGTCTCGATTGGAAATGCTTACCTCACCGATAAGAAGCGATTGATAAGTTGTTTTTTTGTGCATAGATTCCAGTCTTATCTCCACATAGGAGTTGGGATTGGGAAAGTTCTGACAGTCTGGGTGACACGGTACACCGTCGCTATAGCTCTGGTTGTATGACCTGGAATCTCCTCAACCAGCCATAGGATCGCAGTATTCCTCTCAGAGCTTCCTTTCTATGGCTGGTCTTTTGATGGTATCATAGGGTCTATCTATTTCTCCTCAACCAGCCATAGGATGGCAGTATTCCTGTCCTCTCTGAGCTTTCTTTCTATGGCTAGTCTTTTGATGGTATCGTAGGGTCTATCTATTTCTCTTCAACCAGCCATAGGTTGGTAGCTGGCAGTATTCCTGTCCTCTCAGAACTTCCTTTCTATGGCTGGTCTTTTGATGGTATCGTAGGGTCTATCTATTTCTCCTCACCAGCCATAGGTTGGTGACTGGCAGTATTCCTGTCCTCTCAGAGCTTCCTTTCTATGGCTAGTCTGTTGATGGTATCGTAGGGTCTATCTATTTCTCCTCAACCAGTCATAGGTTGGTGACTGGCAGTATTCCTGTTCTCTCAGAGCTTCCTTTCTATGGCTAGTCTGTTGATGGTATCGTAGGGTCTATCTATTTCTCCTCAACCAGCCATAAGTTGGTGGCTGGCAGTATTCCTATCCTCTCAGAGCTTCCTTTCTATGGCTAGTCTGTTGATGGTATCGTAGGGTCTATCTATTTTCTCCTCAACCAGTCATAGGTTGGTGACTGGCAGTATTCCTGTTCTCTCAGAGCTTCCTTTCTATGGCTAGTCTGTTGATGGTATCGTAGGGTCTATCTATTTCTCCTCAACCAGCCATAGGTTGGTGGCTGGCAGTATTCCTATCCTCTCAGAGCTTCCTTTCTATGGCTAGTCTGTTGATGGTATCGTAGGGTCTATCTATTTCTCCTCAAACCAGCCATAAGTTGGTGGCTGGCAGTATTCCTATCCTCTCAGAGCTTCCTTTCTATGGCTAGTCTGTTGATGGTATCGTATGGGTCTATCTATTTTCTCCTCAACCAGCCATAGGTTGGTGGCTGGCAGTATTCCTATCCTCTCAGAGCTTCCTTTCTATGGCTAGTCTGTTGATGGTATCGTAGGGTCTATCTATTTCTCCTCAACCAGCCATAGGTTGGTGGCTGGCAGTATTCCTATCCTCTCAGAGCTTCCTTTCTATGGCTAGTCTGTTGATGGTATCGTAGGGTCTATCTATTTCTCCTCAACCAGCCATAGGTTGGTGGCTGGCAGTATTCCTGTTCTCTCAGAGCTTCCTTTCTATGGCTAGTCTGTTGATGGTATCGTAGGGTCTATCTATTTCTCCTCACCAGCCATAGGTTGGTGGCTGGCAGTATTCCTATCCTCTCAGAGCTTCCTTTCTATGGCTAGTCTGTTGATGGTATCGTAGGGTCTATCTATTTCTCCTCAACCAGCCATAAGTTGGTGGCTTGGCAGTATTCCTATCCTCTCAGAGCTTCCTTTCTATGGCTAGTCTGTTGATGGTATCGTAGGGTCTATCTATTTCTCCTCAACCAGCCATAAGTTGGTGGCTGGCAGTATTCCTGTCCTCTCTGAGCTTTCTTTCTATGGCTAGTCTGTTGATGGTATCGTAGGGTCTTATCTATTTCTCCTCAACCAGCCATAAGTTGGTGGCTGGCAGTATTCCTGTCCTCTCTGAGCTTTCTTTCTATGGCTAATCTTTTGATGACCAAGTCTAGATAGAAATGTTTTCGGAAGGAAATGGATCTATAAAAACAAAGTTTATCTCTCCTGTCAAAATAGACATAAAAACTAGACCCTATCTATTGACCGTCTCCACAAACAAGCGGCCTCGGGTCGGTGACAAAGCCACAACACCAGCTTTGCTAAACTGAGAAGTGTCCATCTGAAGACCATTGTTTCAGGCTAATGGCCCTCTAGCTGGTACTGGGATCAGGTTGATAATTAATTTTAAAAAGTTATCTTCTGATAGTTCAACTAAAAGTTGCTGATGGGTTGCGCCATCTATCGGAATAAATATCAACTAATCGTTTTTTTTTTTATTATTCCAGAATTGATCTATATAATTCTAGAATATCTTTATCAATTAAGAAAGGAAATTTGACCAATATTCTGGAATAATTTTAAAAATCAACGATTAATTGATATTTTATTCCGATAGATGGTGCAAGCCATCAACAACTTTAAGTGGTGACTATCAGGAGATGTCTTTTTTTTTTTTCGTATCCAATGTCTATGTTGGAATCTGGTTATTGATGGAATCTCTTGATGCGACTATACAGCATTGGACCATTGTCAACGACCTTTGTGGTATATAGTCACCAGGGCGAAAAACAGTTCTGGGGATAGGAGACATAATTACAAATGTCATTTTGTCAAATTGTGCTGTCTTGTAGACGTCTGTGATTCGATGGACAACACATGGCCATTTCTGGAAGGTTATAGGGCTTCCAGACATACAGCAGGCGAATGCCTTATTGTCAATATTTCGACAGCCCAGGATCGATTCCCGCTTTAGACACTTTTTTTTTTAATCTTTAATGAACCCCGAATCTAACTTCACCAGTGAGTGCAAGTAACCAACGCAGTTCTCTGTCATATTTTTAAGTTAAAAAATTGAATTGCTTTTTTACATGTGTAGACATGTGGTGTACTTACAGTAAAACCTGTTGTTAACTACTCACCATGATTATAATGGCATACTTGGGATAAATACAACCATCCACCAAGATACACTCATGGACAAAACTTAAGGAAGTTGTATCTTTTACCATGTATATCGGGATTGAGACAATAACTCTGAAAGATATTACAGTGAGCTTTATTGAAGACACACGAGATAACCAATATACACTCATGGACACAGCACTTAAGGAAGTTGTACCTTTCAGCATGTATATCGGGATTCAGACAATAACTCAGAAAGATATTACAGTGACCTTTATTGAAGACACACGAGATAACCAATATACACTCATGGACACAGCACTTAAGGAAGTTGTACCTTCAGCATGTATATCGGGATTCAGACAATAACTCA